ATTCCCGATTATATTTTTTAATATTCCTTTATATATGTACATACATACAAATATATATAAATAACCTTAATTCTCTTTAATATTCAGCTGTATTAATTAAAATGATATATTGATTATATCATTTAGTCAATTGGATTGTCCCTATTGTATTGTGTTTCTATTTATAATTTTTAATGAAAACAATAAGAGGAAATAGTTATTGCCGCAAAATGACTGTAACCAGATAGATTACAGATAGATACAGATAGATACAGATATAGATATGTAGATTAAAAGTCGTGGAGAAGATTAAGAGAAAACAGTCGCGATTACAGAGGCAGGCAAGGGGCGAAGACGGCACCTGTTGCGACCATCAGACGGTTTCTTGACTTTAAATAAGTCATCGGGAAACTTTTCGATCCCCCTTTCATCCTCATGAGAACAACATCAGCCATCTTTTGCCTTTTCGTACAATGCGCAAGGTGACAAATTCCAAGTAGATAGGACGTTATTGTCGGGTCTCGCCACGGCTTACGATGAAACAAAACGTTTTCACCGATCGGCGTTATCGCATCGCGACGTCGTAAGCGCCGCCGCGATGAAGAGAAATTCTAACAAAGCACTTTATTAATCCGCTTTTCCTTCTCTCATAATGTCACCGTGGGTGTGTATGTGTGTGTATTTGTGTACACGGGAGATGAAATCTTCTGTTCGCTGGCAATTATGAATAACGTCATAGCGTGCATAGTCGAATCGGGTCGCGTTGCGTCGCGAGAGCGCGTTCATTACGTCCCTCGGCGCTTCTCTTCTAATGGAATTGCCATTTTAATTTTCCGCGATTCTCTAATTCGAATTGGCGCATAGACATCGTTACTAAACGCTGCAAATCGCACGTGGGTCCGAACAATTTTTAGCCGGCCCTAATTAACGACGTCGTTTAATCGCCCGTACGCGAGCACAGCGCGCTCGCAAATCCTTACGTTTGAATGCTTAACTGAGCGTTTACGCGAACAGCAGAATATTCTTCCGGAATAAATGAAAAAACGATAGTTTTTTCACTCATAACCGTCACGATATAAGCACGACTGAGTCTAGTTGGCCAAAAGATCATGTGGACATTGTGTTTTGTTTATATTTTTATCGTGACAGGAGCAGCAAAAACAAAATCGCAAAATATTGCTTTTACACCGAGTAAATGAAAGTGGTTAAGTTAATGAGACTTTGCTTGAACCGACAAAATTCGTTCAAGCAAACATTTAGTCGATTGAACGAATTATATAGTTGCTGTAAGGAATTATATCAATTGATTCAATTATTGCAATCTGGTCTAAGTAGTAACTACAATATATCAACGTTCTAACGTATAATTTGTTTAATAGATACAATATTTCTTTAAAGGCGAATGACCGTTTTGTAGATCTGATCGCCTCTTCTTTCAGTACAGAACATAAGTACTTGTCCCTCGGTTTCATTAAAATTAGAATAATGTTACAAATAGATAGGAAAGATAGGAAAAAGATAGGAAAATAGTCATTCAGGAATAGCCGAGTGCATTTTCGAACGTCCCGAAAAATCATATTAATATTCTGCATCGCGAGTGAATAAACTTAAGCGACGTGTTAAGGACCATTTAACAATTACGTCACACCACGAGGGGGAATGAGTCTATTAGTTCGCATGATAGTTTGTGATGACAGAGAGAAAATAGGAAAGATCATGGAATATTACACATTTCCCGTATTTAAATTTTTATATATATTTAAAAATATTATATTCTATGCAAATCATTTAATTTTGTGTTAATAATAAGAATTTTAATTTCAAAATATTTTTTAAACATAATTTTTGCTAATACAAATTATATAATAAAATAATTTGGCTGGGAATTATTTGTATTTTAGAAAATAAAATAGTAGCGCTGTATTTTAGAAAAATAATAGTGTCTAATAATTATTACGTACAATATGATATGATATGAGCTATTCAGTAAGTGAGATATTCAGTATGAATGCACGGTCGAAAGTGATTCACATTATTTTCATTCTTTTCTTGTGCTTAAGTTCCATCAGCTATTTTCACTTAAATTTACGTATCCTCGTGTTTATTCCTTCGATCCGTTTAAGCCTCTCCAAAGGCAGCGTGACCAAGCAGGACCAAGGAGGATCCGTAATCCGTCGGATTTCACCATCAAATATTGAACGAAATTCCTCCGAGCGGATTTCGGTTTTAGCGGACCACCGTGATGTTGCGACATTCAATCATGTTCTGTCGATCTTTTTATCTCTTTCTTTTTGTTGAATTACTTAATTGTTTTGTTCATTTCTCACATTATTTTAATTTCTTCTCAAATTTCATAATAAATAACATATTCGCTCTCTCTCTCTTTCTCTCATCTCCTCTTCCTTTTTCCCTTCTTTCTCTCTACGTGTACCTTATTCCACTATTACTGTTAAATTTTTAATTAATAATAAATATTGATAATACTACTGATAATGGTAATATTGGTACTACTGATAAATATTTAACTAATCAGTTACAAGCAACGTTATTTATAATTATATCTCCTTATCAGTTACGCTTTACATTTATTGACGTATATTAATCTACGTAAACGCTAATTTTTAGCGAATTCGTGACGCGTGACGGATTTATTAAAAAAAAACATTTTTTAAACGTTTGTTTTCTTTAAACTTCTCTTCAAACTTCAACAAAATCCGGTCAATAATGCGCTGTGTGTCGTAGCACGAAACACGAAAAAGTGTTGTTCGCAGACATAGTGTGACGCAAGCAAGAGAGCAAAAAGTAACTTCCGATATTTTGTCTTGATTTAACGTTGGGATTCGGTTTCGGTGGCGGTGTAGAGATACTTTGCAAAGAAGTATGATACTTCAACTGTCGGAATCCGCATCGTAAAATTGTCGCGACAATCCTGCTAGTGTGCGCGTCGAGCGCATCGGTAGAAGCTACTCTCCACCAGCGATGGCATTTATCCCACGCCACTCGTAAATAACTTCTCATTTTATTTTACATGGCAGAATTCCATTCGCGTGCATCTGCGCCCTCGAGGAGCCATAAAATCTTCCGCGGAGTACGCGTTAACTCCCTTTTACGCCCTCTCAGAAATCCTCTCGTGTGGATATAAGACATTTCGGAGTGTTGTAAAGATAATCATCGTTACAATACATACGGACAAAATGGCTGTATTATTATTAGTATCCTTTTTTATTCCCTTCTTCTCGCTCGCTCGCTCGCCTTATATCTCTTAATTTTCTGACCATTTCGCGGTATTCTTGCGCCCAGCGTTTGCCGACATCTAGATAAAATTATCTAAATAATCATCCAGATGAAGAACCTTTATCTTTTTATGTAGGTTTATAAAATACAAAATAGATTCACCTTTATTTTAGATGAAAAGGATGTCATCTTATCTAAAGAAAGTATCTAAGATGACATTATGCGTTATGCAAAATCTGTTTTATTTATTGTTTTCACGATGTAAGTATTGAAAAGACAATTTTAGTAAATGTACATATATATACGAATAAGTTAGAGTCCAGTACATTTGAAACGAAACAAAACTAATCAAAACATTGCTTTAAGATTATGTATATACTCAAATGCACCGACATTTTTTTAGGCGTAGAAAGTTTTATTAAGATGTAAATAAACTCGGTGCCACGTTATAGAACAATGGAACAAGGAAGTGATTCTATTTGTAAGGAATCTTCTGATGATATCCGAATCCGTATTTCGATTATTTATTTACAGATAAAAAGAGTGGGAAAGAATCTAATGCCGCGCTCACTTACATCTCCTCAAAACTCCTTAAAACTCTTATGAAGTGACTGAAGCTAAGAATAAAGGACAAAGATATGCTAAGTAAGCTGCTTTCTCTGTCACGCAGTACTATAAAAAAGCGATGTAGCAGAAACAAACATAAGAAAAGAAAGAGAGGATAAATTGTGATCGCTTTTTTCGTCTTTCCCACAAAATAAGCAATTAAACAAATCTGCAATAATATAATAAACATTAGAACTTAGCTAGCATATAATTTAGATAAAAAAAAAAATTTCGCAAAAGAACCGTTTGTTTTTATTTTTTTTCTGGCAATAAAAAAAGTCGAGTTTCTTAAACCATAGAAATTAATATAAACTACGTCACTTAAGCCACACTATTATAACAAAGATTAAGGGAGACGGAGTTAGTTAGCTACCGAAGTAAATTTGCAATTATTTCTGCTATTCTAATAAGTTACAAAATTGAACAAGCCAGATTTTTAAACATGTATAAGTAACTCTAATTACAATAATAAGGCATATATGACGCAGTACTTATAACGTAACAAATTATCATAAGTATCCTCCGAGTTTATAGACAATTGAAATTTTCTCAAATATCATTTATAATTTTGTGTGGTTTCTTGGAAATATTTATAGATATCTACTCGTATAATTTGGGAGATACATCAAAGATAAATCAAACGATTCTTCTCTGAAAAAATATAAATTTGATGGATATTTATACCGTTAAATCGTACAAGTGATCCTAATTATGAAGGCACGGCATAAATGATGCAGAACGTGTCCCAATTTCGATATAACTTTTCGGGATAACTTCATGCTTCCAATATTTCAGGAAATTGTTCCGGTACTCTGATTATGATTTCCCGGAACGTCGTTCCACTTTTCAAGTTCCAGAACTCTGATTATCGAGGTTATGCATGTGTCTACCGTTATAATATCCTCTTTCCTTTCTTCCTCGAAAAAAAGAGCTGATACCGCCGAAATTGCACGCGACAATGCCCTACGGGGCGCAATTCCCGAAATTGAGAAACTTTTGTGCAACTAAACAATTATTATGCAATCGGAATGTGCTTAAAATACGATGAACTAGGTTTCCTCCGGCTATTCCGAGCTGCGCGAATTATGCGCGCACACGCGAATTTGAAAACTCAATCTCGGACTATCGCGAAAGTCCATATAACATTTGCCGATTACAAGTTGCGTTACCTTTGTTTCCAGATCCGGACCGACATCATGAGGACAACGCCAACGAATCTGACTGCCACGAGGCTCATTATGCTCTGCCTGTTGAGTGTGATCGGTGAGTCGAAGGCGGCGATAGAAGAAGTGCCGTCTTCGTCTCTGCACATCCCGCGATTGAGTCCGCTGTTGAACAACGTGGAGTACGAGGAGCCCTCGGAGAAGAGATCGTACGCTTACGTTTCCGAATACAAGAGGCTGCCGCTGTACAACTTCGGCATTGGAAAACGATGGATCGATAATAACGAGGACAAAGTGAGTTCCGGACGAAATAAAACGAGAATGTGTATTAACTCTAACAGTCACATCCCAAGCACCCTTCCGAACACACATCCTGATGCAGTTTCTCCCATTTCCCTCCTTTCCTTACCGATTATGATGACTCGCGCGTATATTCCACTGCTGATTAGTTGGCTTTAAGAACACGCTGATTTTTTTTTCACTTTTTTATGTTGTAAAGGTTTTTTTTCCAATGAAACAATCTTGCTAAATTTTAAAACTGATTTGGATCAAGATTTATATATACAAGATGAGCCATATAAAGTGTTACAGACTAATATCTAATATCTTCCTAGATATTTTCCTAGAAATTTTCCTAAGCATTTCCTAGCATTTCTTCCTAGAAATTTTCCTAAGCATTTCCTAGCATTTCTTCCTAGAAATGCATTGTTCGAAAAAGAAGCTTTAAATAAAATTAAGATTCGAAAGAATTTGTGCAATTATTGTTAAAAAAAACCCGAACTGAAAGAAAAGTAATCTGAGTAATCACTTTTTTTGGCAATAGAATGATTTTACCGTGTGTTACTATAGTGCTAATAAGATAATAACTTTACATACACATATTGTTACTACTATTTTTTTATTAGAGCAGCAACAAAATATAGTTGGTACAAAAAATTACTATAATTTTGGGATATTCACCAATTTCTTCTCTCAGCGCAGAAGCATCACCGAGTCGAAAGCTTAACAGTATTTCCAAGTTGAAGCGTTCTACTTTAAAATGCTTATCGACACATCGCTCTGGGGTAACTTTTTGCAAAGTTGCACAAGTTCTTTCGAATTTATTTTTCCGATCGATTTGATGCGTTCCTTCAACTTTGTTGAGAAGTGCATTTTTTTCGTATTATCCGTTATAGTACTATATAAATCATGAAATATTGACCGTCCTGTTTATTTTCTCTAAGAAAATGAAAACTTCTGTCCAAAGTTTACATGAAGATCGAGTGAGCCAAGTTACAGCAAATAAATTCCTAACATGTTTATCTTTTATCCAGTTTTATTAGTTTTTATTAGCTTTCACTGACCATACGTCTGATAGATGCAATTAGTGACGCCTTTATATTGGGAGTACAAATTAGTTCGGTCCGTTTTTTTGTGGTCAAAAATGCATTTATTTCAGAACAAAATGAATGAACAGATTAATCAAAGTATTGTCCATCGCTGGCTACTACTTTTTCCCACCTCTCAGGCAATTTTCGAATTCCATCTCGAAAAAAGTCTCGTCTTTTGAGGCGATCCAAGTTAGAAGCCAATTTTCGATTTCTGCGAAAGAAGTGAACCGGTGACCTGCCAAATCGTGCTGCATCCGTCGGAAAAACCAGTAATCAGAAGGAGCAATGTCCGGCGAATACGGCGGGTGCGGTAAAATATCCCACTTGAGCGTTTCCAAATAATTTTTTACGACTTTTGCGACATGAGGCCGAGCGTTATCATGCAGAAGAATAACTTTGTCATGTCTTTGCTCATATTCCGGCGGTTTTCTCGTAATGCACGGCTTAAACGAATCAACTCCCAATGATTCTGCAAGCTCCTCTTGCGTTTGACTTGGATCTTCATCGAGTAATGCCTCCAATTCTTTGTCTTCGAATTTTTTTGGCTGTCCAGAGCGAGGCTTGTCTTCAACGCTGAAATCACCATTCTTGAAATGTCGAAACCATTCCCTACATGATTTATCAATTGCAGCATTGTCACTATAAACTTCTACAAGCATTCGATGCGCTTCAGCTGCACTTTTCTTCCAATTAAAGCAGAAAACTAAAACCTCCCGCAAATGCTGCTTAGTTAACACAAAATTTGACATATTCAACCCAGTAAAAAACAGGGGTTTTGTATGAAACTCAAAGCGATATAAACTGAATATTATTGACAGATGTCTAATCTCTCTGAAACCACCGAAATCAGCTGTTACTATGAAACATTCATAACAGCCAGAACCATTTTTTGAAAACGGTCTAAACTAATTTGTACTCCCAATATAAATTAATAAGATGCTTCAGTACAAGTTACCGGTAGCGCGCGCGCCACCATGGCAGTCAACATATTAAATATATACCAAATTAATCTTACGTAATACACATTGAAACAATTTTATAAAATATTTAGCATTTATAAGTTGAAAATATAACTTGTTAGCTTATTACCAGTATTAATTTAAGTGTTAAGTCAGCTTACATCTGGTTAGAATATATTTGTGTTTTTTAAAATATTTGAAGAAATTATGATAAACTATATTTGTACAAATAGTAAAAGTTTTTTACCGTCGGACTAAAAATATACTCGAGTAAACTATCAGTTAATTAGATCGTAACGTACCAATTATTCTATTCTTTTAGTTTCTATTGATAATACAAGGAGTTTTAAAACTATCGTACGATACTTTAATAGCATATTATGGAGCTTAATCGGGATCAAAATTATCAATACGAAAATTTATCAAATTGAGACAAATCTAATTGATGTTTTTGCAACACTAGCTTCTAATATGCATGCTGACCGGCAGGCTTTAGACAGTTTAGTTCATTGCATGAATCGCTAATGTCCATTAGAAGATTTATGAAATTGTGCATCGTGTGATGCTAGTTTAATATGACACTTCGTTCGAATTGTACGTTCAGCATTTTGCGTTATATACAATCAGCCTTTTCAGTATTCAGCCTCTATGACGACCAGTCGTCTTCGAATGCTATCTAGCTAATGAAACAGTTCATAAAGCATCTGAAGATAAACTTAAGATAACTTTAAGCATAAGATCCGACTGTGAATACCGTTGTATGCCCTAGTTTTCGGTAGCAAAGGATTAAATGCAAGAGAGCACGGGAAGTCTCTAAACTTACCAACGAGCCGATCCTATTCGGCCCGAACCGAACTCTCCGCTACTCGATATTTCGCATCCACTGAAACTGCACAGGAACTGCTTTTACCGTAAATTTTATTCAGATATGAGACACAAAGCCAAGTTTCCTGATCAGTCATGTGAAAATACGTGAATACAAAAGCTTAATACGGTAAATCTCTCTTTTAAACTAACGAAAATGGAAAGTGGTAGTTTTAAAATTCCAGAATACTGTCGTTACTGAAAGCGATTCTAGCAAGATAATCGCGCGTGCAAAGTAACGTGTCTCGCAAACGATGCGATCGGGAATCACGTGCGACGTTTCCCGATCCGTTTATCTTCATATTAAGAAGTGTTATGATCGTCTGGCAGTGATGTACACTCAGTTACGAAGTGATTTTGAAAAATTTTTTTAAGGAAGTTGCAGTACTTCGAGTTGTTATAATTGCGAGCCATTGCTGACAAATTTGTGCAGTAATTTGTCAGTAACAAAAGACAACCTCTGTAAATTGATCAATAGTGACTCCCAATTATGACAACCTGAAGCGCTTCATTGGAGAAAAAGTGTGGAAAATGTTTTGCAGCTGAGTTTACACTCATGGACAGAAAAGTTATTCGCAATTTTTGAGATGAGTTGTAGTGAACTCTGTCTTTTCCAATGAAAGAATTCGTTTTCTATTGAAAAGATACTCTCCTACTGAACAAGATGGATGAATTCACAGCTCACCCGACAAATTATACGAACAGTCTTCCTGTTTATGAGTGTATATACGTATGTTATTGTTTTCGAGACCACATGATTTTCAGACGGTGAGATGCATTGGAAAGCACCGTTACATTATTTTTATTGATCTAGCATTCTTCTATATCATATTATTATATATAATTTTAAATTATTTTATAGTATTTAATTACTTCTTGATATTCAAAGCGTCAAAATGCATAATTCCTTCGCGATGACAACCACTCGCGTCTCATCGAAGTGAATAATGACTCGTGACAAAATCGAAATACCTATTCGACGTCGCGGGAAACAAGTAACAATTACTTTATGCAAGATAAGATTTCAAATAAAATACAGTCGGTAACAGAAAAGCCGCAACATTTTTATTTCGTTGAGTCTCAAAACGCATTCAGTATTCAATACAGTATAAAAAAATCGATCAAAACAACTTAAAAAATCGAGATGAACAAAATTAATTACGGGGGTTATATATGGAACTAATTGCTTTAATTCTTTCGGCATAATTTTGATGTTCTTGTAATCTCTCATTTGTATCAAACGAGCTAAATATTCAGTAAAATTGATTGATCATGGTGTTGATTTGACTCTCCCGGAAAATAATGGTAACCAGATGAGTTGTCAAGTGTAATAACGAATAAGAAGTCTAATTAAACTTTCCTCCCATGTTGAATAAGTTATATACATTATTAAAGGAGAATAATGTAATATTTCATTTAATTCTTTCTTTATGTAATATCGTGACAAACTGTTAATTTAAATAGTATCTATCCCGTTTATTATTCAAAAGAAATTAACGATTTCAACAAAAAGCTAATAGAGAGTTGACACAACTGAAGATGCCAGAAGCTAAAAAAAACTTTAAGAAAGGCGGATACGTACAGTTAGGTTTCAGGCGGTATACATACACGGTCACACATCACATAAAATTTTAAACGAAGCTTGCTCGCTTATACTTCCGCGACAACAATTTTTTCTGTAAGCCAGTGAGGCAGCCAGCGCAACCTATCAATGGCCATTAAGTTGTGTATCCCAACTCTGTATATGGTAACTTATTTAAGCTTGAGGAATTTGTTGTAATAATTTCTGCTAGTTGAACAAATCTTGCAAACGTTCAATCATCACAGACATTAGTTCAATGTACTTATCATATGATTTACTTAACTTTCTATATTAAGGATAAGATTACTTATATTATGCAGAAAAAGGTTAACCTTTTTTATTAGTTGACACTTATAGCGTCCGTATAACTATATTTTAGTTTCTCCTAATCTTTTACTTTTGACAAAATGTTTTAGTTGAAATTCCTATGTTAAATTGTTAAACAGTCTTAATTTTTACTTAACTCGACTCGATTGCAGTTGATGCAAACAAATTTGCTCAAGCCAGAGATTTGGCTCGCTTTATCCTGATCTTTGTTTTTAGTAGAAAAATGTACTTTTTCGAAGTTATTAAAAGAGCAAAACTTCTTTTTCAATATGAATACGTTGCGAAACAAATAGGAAAAATGATCTTTTTTTCGATGAATATATCATTAATATGTTCCATGTTAGATTAATTCTACATCACTTGTCATTCACGTTGCGTGTGTCACGGGTGACGCATGTTGTTGTGTAATGTTTGTTGAATCGCATCTTTTAATATTTATAAGAATATTTCATAATTGTTTCGTTTTAGATATTAAACGGTTTGAATGGAAAGTTCACTTATGTGATCCACGCAATATGGAACTATTAACTGTTAAATTTAACTGTTAATATTAGCAAAACTGTTAATTAATATTTGATTAACGTAAAAAAGTATTGTTCTTTAAGTGCTGCTGCTGTGCTAAAAATTTTCCTGTTGACTATACAATTATCAGTTGACTATAAACTGACTATATTTGAATAGAATTTTATGAAGACTTCAAAGTAGAAAAATACATAATATTTTAAAATTTGGGAATTTTCGACAAAGGATGAGCTTTCTCGACATTTTTATATCAGGACTCCTAACTCTAATTAAGTTTCAAGATATACTATTAACACATCCTCTATTAAATATCTCACATAGGTTTTTTGTGATTGTGTGTGTGCTGAATAATAAATTTAACTTAGCATATTAACATAACATGTTGATTTTAAAATGGCATCAGAAACAACGTTCTCTAATATCACTGTACTCGTCAGTGTGTTAACTTTTTCGGAAAACAATTATCTAATTTTATAGTGATATAAATATAATATCTGCCAATTATATAATAATATTTCGCTGTTTTTGTTGAGGAATTTTATAATAAATACTTATTCACAATAATGTTCGTTAATGTCAATATTCGGTAATGTTTGAATTAAAAAAAAATTAAACGTATCTAAACGTACACATACAAGGAGTCAGCCATTATTTATATAGCGCCTCGTGAAACTTTTTGACAATTCATTAGCGAGAATATCGAGAAAGATCATTTTACTTACAGAGACTTTCCAATTTTTAACACGACATATTTGCAGCTAAGCCTCAAATTAAGATTCCGTTAAGAAATAAAATTCGCCCGAAGAAAGTAATTTTGTTATACATTAGATCGCCCAAAGCTCGCGGAAAATCCAGCTTTCTCGGTCATCTGCATCTCGAAAACTATCGATGTCTCGATATTTTTACAAATTTTTCTTTTTTTTATTAACTTCTAGCAAATTTACAAATCCGTCATAATGAGACATTAAGTAAATCAAATAATCTAATAAGAACATGTAGGTTTTACTCCCATTGGAGTTAACTCTTAGTTATTTTTGCAAAGGAAATTTTTATTTTAAAAAGCGCTATGTAAATAGTAGGCGTGAATTATAGAATACTCCATATATATCAGCATTTCTGGAAAGGTTAAGGTACTGTACGATGGTTTCGGAAAGCCTTGTATATTTTAATTACGCGGCACAGTTGGCGTATTGTTCAACGGAAATTCTCTCCGTGCACTGTTACACAATACAATTGTGATTTCCACGTGGCAAAACAATTGCAATTCACAGAGAACACGGCCATTCTCCTTCGGCATCGGTAAGCGTCTACGGGACTACAGGTTCGGCATAGGCAAGCGTAACAACCACCCCTCGGGCTTGGATTACTTCCCTGCCGACAACTTGGAGGCTTATCACTCTCACGAAGACAACGCAGACGATTTCATGGACGAAAAGCGCGGTAACCAGCCGTTCAGCTTCGGTATCGGAAAACGCGGCTGGAAGTTGGCCGAGGCGGCCGCGAGGAGACCGAACGCCAACGTTGTCGCTGCTCCGAGATACCTGCTGAGCTTGGGCAAAGGAATGGGCGAGGATGAGGCTCAGTAGAGAGCCTCCTCGTCGAAGAGCACGGACTGTCTTTTCCTTCCTCACCCCCTCCTTCCATGTTCGTTTCAATCCCTGTGGACGATCCCACGAGAGAAACGCGCGAACTTGTCTCATCTCGGAAAATACGATCGGTGATCAAGTTGATCTCTGAAAATTGCGTAATTCGTCGGTTCCCCGCGGTCCGTCTCTAATGACAAATGACTCTGTGTCGCGCGCAAGAAAATTAATAATCATTAATGATAATCGATATTGATAATCAAGTCTCATCACGCTCCTTCTCCGTCGAGTAGCGATCAGTGATCACGGACTCTGTGGTTATGAGGATTAAAAGTTCTCGCAATTGCGGCACACAGCTTTCTCGTTAAGTATCCGTGTCGTTGTCACGTCAACGCCCTTTTGCATCTATCGCAATGTTGGTTGCGACGCTCGTTGCGATGATAATTGCAAACTCATGGCTTGCATGAACTTGTCGTTAGGATAGCTAATTAGATAGCGAAGAGAAGTGTCATACAAAGACTGTATACTGTGCGGAAAAAAATTTTGTTGGATTAACTAAATGTATGTTGAAATGTGAACGGAACAGTTTTCCGATTGAAGTCACTAGAATTCTGTTCAAGTTAACAAGACTTCCGATTAGCTAGAATTGCAATTGTTCAATTCGAATATTTGTAGGTTCTGATTAACTAGAAATCTTGTTTGATTAACCGAAATCTTAATCTGAACAGAATTCTGACAACTTTAGTGAGAATTTTCGTCTATATTTCACCAGACATGTGATTAATCCAACCGAATGTTTTCCCGTGTAATTAGTTGTTTCAACGCCAAACGAGTTCACGTCGTGAGTTTGTGACATAGACTTAAGAGATAGACTTCGCATTCTTATGAGACTAGAGACGAGAGTAAGGCCGAAAACACATAGAAAAACGCAACCAATAAGACTTAAGCACATTGACCAACCACAATCGATTATTCTACCTTACGGCCCACGAATAATCGATTGTGGTTGGTAAATTTTTATATTGCTTGCGTTTGTCTATATGATTCCGGTCTGAAGGACAGAGATATGCTGAGTAAGGTGCTTTCTTTGTCACACAGTACTATAGGAAGAGACAAAAAGAAACATAAAAGGAAATGAAACGGAATAGAAGAGAAAAAAAGAAAACGCGTTGACCATGTGATCGCTTCTCCTCCTTTGTCCTCCGAGAGCGAAGCGATCGTCCACGGAAGTTGAACGTTAACACATTGCGTGCCAAGCTGATTTTCACTAAAAACTTCCCAGAGGCCATGTGACTTTTTCCTCAAATTGTCGTCGTTTTTACTTCTAAATGTTATTTTATGCTAATTATTTCACTTGTATGATAATAATCCTCTAAAATGAAACATGTACGACGTGGCACTGGTCGAATTATTAGCGTCATTCGTGACTGAATGACGTAGCATTCAATGTATTAAAAACGACCACGTGATCCTTCTGGGATCTTTTTCCTTCGAAGAATGTTCTTTATAAGATTTGTGCACCGTTGACAGTTTACGCTCCGCACTGTAAATGTACACAAAACACGATGGGAATATCTTTGCTCGGCTTAACCGTAGAACAAATTTTCTGTTCTTCTTCACCGAGGCTGCCCGACTTTGTTAGCTCCTCTCGCTCTTCTCATCGCGACTAATAATTCGAATATATTATGTTACGTGTTTATTGAAGACGAAAACAAGAAAAGAGAAAAGATAGAGAAAGAGAGGTGTTTGTTTGAATTACAGGCAACTCGTGCTTATATATTTCAACATTGCGATTAATGCTTACGTTTTCGTTAGAATAAGATTTACTTTTCTCTGAATGGTTTCTCAATTTATCTGCAATCACGATCCGAATAAAAAAAGAAGGAATACATATAATTATATGAATAATTGCATATAAGTATATATAAATTATATATAAATTGTATATAACCCGTATACATATAAATTTTGTTCTTACATGGTCGTATTTCCAATCACATGTAATTATATATGTTTGTATGAAAAGATACGCTGCTGAGTGGAAGGAAAGAAGATTGTGTCATTCAATTAAACGTCGACATCACGAACTACAAACGTAAACAGTCACTTTAATTGTTCAACAGCATTTCGTAGACATAAATAATTACGTATGATTATTTTCGGCAGTATAGGAATAAAATTTACATACAAAGTATCCCTAGAGGAAAGGTCAATACTCTGGGAAATGATAGTATCGGTTTATTGGGCAAGAAAATTCATATGGACATGTGTTTCGTTCCAAATAGTGGCCGATATTTGTTTTATTTTCTATCACTGTAAAATTTTTGTTTAGGGTCCACTCAACAATTACGTCACGCGAAATTTCAATATTTTTATTCCCCTACGTCATCCCTTCGTCACAAAATTTGAGTTTCCTCTAACATAAAATAACAAAATAACTTATACGAGAAAAGCCATTAGCTAAAAGCAATTTCGGTATAATAAACACGAAACCGATATTTATTTACTGGATGATATTACAAAGCAGTTATCTGAACATATGTTATGTACTCATGTTGGCAATCCTATTATCCATGTATGCGCAGTGTAATATCGTAGATAGCCATCCCTGTCAGAGTACACCGTCGAAGAATAGCGAGCTGAGTCGGAAAGTGTGAAAACTTGTGAAATTTATTGGCAGGCTGGTAGTTATAAAGATTTATAAAGATGTTAGATATATAAAGATATATAAGGTTGTTTAAATTAACGTAAAGTGTACGAGTAGGTTCAGAGATTTACGGAGGGCAGACACAATGCCCGCGATGAGAGAGAACCGACCAGGAAGCCCAACAACCGTCGCGACAAACATAATCTAAGTGCAAATTAATACGCGAATTAGTGAGTCCTGAAGAATCACAATTGATAACATCGCTGTCGAATTTTTTTTGCCAACTTAATAAAACGTTATATCGAAATTGCTTTTAATTAATAACTTTCCTTCGTAATTACATTGAAGAAGCCTTTATGGGGTTGCATGAAGAATCTACTGTAGATACACACGAAGAGGTACACTATACGAATTGCTAATTTGCACAAGTGATACTATTATTCGCACAGAAGAACGTTAAGATGAACCAATACGAGCCACCGTCATCTTTTCACACGGGTTACAAAGTACATGGATGTTAAGGGTGGAAATTTTTGGAAATGTATCATAACCTGTAATCAATTTGCCATTTACACAATAAATATTAGAAACAACACGTATCCATACAATATTACGTCTAAAGACGAGACATAAGACATCTTGAAGACGTCTTAAAAAGGTTTTAGAGACGTCTTATATTCCGAAGTCTTAAAAATGACTTCAAGACGTCTTAAAGACGTCTTACGTCCCGATTTTTAACGTTGTGTTGTGTGACTTTTTCCTCCAGTTGCTATCCAGCAATTTCATTTCTAAGTGTTATTTTATGCTCTTTTTTTCTATCAACAATTTAGCAACAGCACATTCAAACAAATCTATTTCGGCGATCGATCGATACAGGACACACGTCTGTATGTAACTTTTTTGTTTCTAAGAACCGATATCACGACCTTTCAAAATATTGACCTTTCTTCCTGTGGGATGGAATATCCTGTATAATTGGACGTAATCTTTTTTTTCTCGGGGAATTATAAGCACGGCATCAACGAGAGCGACGGAAGTGGCCGAGTTGATCGTACTTTTGCATTTTTTGAACGAGTTACCTTCCATGATCTATAAAGTAAATTGTCACAGTAACGATTCAATGTCGATTAATAATATTTGTGCAGTAGATAGGAACAGTGTCTCTCGATGTGCTATCCATATTCCCATCTCTGTAACCACGGCAACGCTCGTACACACGTTTATTATTGTCCGATAATTATTTCCGACCTCATATAAAAAAAGAAACTACTCACTACTGTATGATTGTACTTATGTGCTGAATGTGATAATAAATCTTATAATCTTCTTCTTTTCGTCACACGTATGACATGTCTATGTATGTGTGTATGTATGTATGTGTGTGTATGTGTGTGTGCGCGCGCACGCGCGCGCGTGTGCTTGTGTGTTCACCTTCAATACCGCTTGCGACATTATCATTTTAGTTGCTGCAGTCAAGTGAGAATTTATCGATGAGGAATGTCATCCCGATTTATCGTGCGCGATGCATATATTCGCCAGCATGATTTATTAAGTGTATACCATTATAATAAACGATGAATGCAAATATGTCGACATATTTAGTGTAAATAGCGCGAATTTAGTATTTCGCGCGAAACTCTCGAATTGAGAATAAATCACTGTCGGCGACGGATCTCGGGATTTTGACGTGCACCTCTAATTTCCACGGATACGAGATTCGCACGGCCGGCCAGACGCTCGTATTTGCAACATGCTAATACTCGTACACTTTCAATTGCGACGCCGACGTCACGCGCGCGTGCCGCGCACATATCGGCGCGTATTCCGATATTTCGATCGCGACGTGAATTAATAGTTACACGATAAAGACTTCGGCTCCAGTGCATCGTGGGACTCACGGTGACCCGATCGCGATAAATAACGCGAGTCCGCGCCAGAACCGCCATGAATCAGGCACGCCCCCGTTCGGTCTCGATAATCCGACGTAGTTCTCACCCGTCCGAGTTCCCAATCGCGTCCAGTCTCTTTCGCCGGCCTCGTCGCGCATTTTCGGGAGTTTAGAGAATCGCCGGAAATCAAAAGCAATAAAACGAGAGAACGAATAAACTTATTTTCCCGTCTCACCGTCGTCCAGGCGAGAATTAATCGAGGAATAGTGTAACGGTAGCCGTCGCAGGTTCCTCCATCCGGTTGACGTCGTTGACGGAGACACAGGAGAAAAGAGAACACGAGAAGAGGGCAAATATGTCCGGCTCTTCCTTAGCAAGTCGCGAACTCGCGTTGTGCGTTATTCTGATATCCGGATATGGTACCGTCGCTCTTGAGAAGCACTGGTTGCCGGACCTGGAATGGCAAACCGCCAGCAACTGGGCGGACGGTCGTGTTCCAGAAATCGACAGCCACGTCATTTTTCCCGAGCAGACCCGCCACGCGGTGGGTATCGCCGGATACCCGCGCGATTTCAGATTGTCCGCGCTCGATCTACCCAGGCAAGGATCCTTGGTCCTGCCGAGAAACGGTAAACTGCAGGTAAACACAGTTCATTAACTTGTTGTTAGGGATAGATAAGCACGGCAAACGGAAAGACCTTTGCACGATTTAACATGATTGAACCCTTCCACGTGCTGATGAAAATTACTATTTGTTTATAAAATATATTGCAACAGAGCCGCTTCCGCGCTGAAGCGCGTAATTGCGATATTAATATCACATTTAATCGCGATTTAATATTAACATGAGATGTTGCTTTGATTTGTGAAGACAACTTATTGAAATACGTCATCGATAATAAATATAAAATGCTAATGTTTATACAATTAATTAAATTACTAATATTAGCTATTAATTATTAATTAATAATTAGATTGCTAATTTCGATAATTAGTTAAAATTATAAAACAAAATAACTAGTTTGATATGCCTAAAAATTATTTGTTTTAAAAGAAGATAGCAGTGCGCAGTCTTATAATTATTATTCACAATATAAATATAATTACAAGCTATTTTGATAAATATTGATAAAAAGGGAGTCAGCTCCGATGACCTTGACATGTATTGTAGAGGTCATCGTCCTGAGTAATATGCAAAAGGTTTTATCGATAATAAACATAAAATGCTAATGTTTATACAATTAATTAAATTACCAGTATTAGCTATCAATTATTAATTACTAATTAGATTGCTAATTTCGATAATTAGTTAAAATTATTAAACAAAATAATTAGTTTGATATGCCTAAAAATTATTTATGTTTTAAAAGAAGATAGCGGTACGCAATTTTATAATTATTATTCATAATATAAATATAATTACAAGCTATTTTGATAAATATTGATAAAAAGGGAGTCAGCTCCAATAACCTTGACCTTGACATGTATTGTAAAAGTCATCGTCCTGAGTCATATGCAAAAGGTGTACATATGAAATGTATACCTTAGAAATGTTATAAAAAAAGATGTATTTTCTAAGGAGTGAGAATTTCTCACAAAAGACTGCGCCCTCTGCCCCTTCGCGATGCGGGGAGTCTGGGAGGCGTAGCCCCTCAGTCACACGATTAGGAACAGGCATCTTCTTTATTAATATTGCAGTAAAATGTCGCAAAACTACATGGCATTAATACAACTTTTTTGTTAATAACTTTTTAATAAACAACGATCGACGGTTAAACCCTTTTGCGTGTTATTCTGGACAATGACCTCTACAGCATATGTCAAGATCAACATCATTGGAACTGACTCCCTTTTTATCAATAATTACCGCTATTTTTTCTCATTCTATATGAGAAAGGAGTGAGGTAATACCACATATCGTATAATATTGGAAAGGCCCAAACTTTGTTATAAAATATAAAGTGGGGAGAGGGGAGATAAAAATAATCCAATTTCATGTAATGTAATTATTAAATAACTCCTAAATAAAATATATATGTCAAATATCGACGAATTGTTTAGAATAAGACACATGATCTTATAAATTTTTTTTGTTCATAACCGATACTATCATCTCTCAGAATATTGATCTTCCTTTAGGGATTCTCTGTATATAAATTTTGTCTTTATATGGCCGTAAATAATCATACGTAATTATTTATGTTCACACCTAAAGGACTACTGTTGTACAAATATAATTAAAATTTGCTCATATTTATAACGGCCCATCATATTACGTTTAATTAAATAAAATGATTTTTATATAACTCGAATGCACAATTGAAGCAGTGCACGATATATTAAATTTGATTTGTTTCCTGATGATACATTTTCAAGTAGAAATAAAACCGCATGTCGAGTTATAAGCTGATTTTGTATATCAGTTCGATATTATTTACTTATTTCTTTTAGTTTTTTGCTCGTGTTAAGCCAATAACAAAACTCTCATTTCTTCTAGTAGCTATATAAATAAATTAGCTAATGATTGAATAAAAAAAGTTACTTAATCATAAAATGAGATATGTAATTAGTTGCCAATCAATAAAGTAACGCTTTTTTTATTTAGTAACTATATAAATAAATTAGTTAATGGCTAGATAAAAAAAATTGATTATGAGATAAATAACTGCAGCTAACTTCTACGTAGAAATTAAATCTAAGGACTGTTTAACCATAGTCAACTAGTCAACTAGTAAACTAGTCAATTTGTACATTAAATCGTTATGGTCTAGGCTTATTCGGCTATTAATTAACTGGCCTTAAAAAACTTGATTTTCTCTTTTGCTTTCTTTCTCTCTCTCTTTTAGTGACAGTATAAAAAAAGTTGTTAATAACTGAATAAAAGAAATTATACAGTTATGAAATAAAAAGTTGTAACTAACTCCCGAATAGAAATTTTGAATCTTAACAATGTTTAGTCACAAGTTAGTCAAACTGTTTATTAGATCATCCTTGTCTAGCTTCATTTAGCTGTCAATTAACCGATCTCGTAAACCTTAATCCTTTAATTGCTACACAAACAAATCAATCAATACAGATATATAAATAGACTGTATGGATAAATTAGTGAAACTTCACCGTTAATCGCATACATATGACCGAAAGATTCATTATGCATTTCGCGTTTATGCTTCATGCTAAGATATTTTGTTGTGTATTATGTACGTAAGCTGAGCAACTCGAAAGCAAACGCGAAAGTCAGCAAATGGTCGAGGACGGGTAATTTCTTCTGGACGGATCCCGCGAATTGGAACGGTAGCTCGATAGCGGCGCCCCATCTCGAGCGCGTGCCTTGTCGCCAAGACAACGTCGTTCTGCCAAATATAAATCACACCCTGAGCATGTTGCTGCCGGTGAGGGAGATACAGGTAAAGTCAATTCGACTGCCAAACGAAGAGCCGTTCACATCGTGGGAGTGGATGAGCTTTCATAATCGTAGGGAGTTTTCCAGAAGCAGATTCACTGTGAAGTAAGTTCTCGACGATGATAATACATACCGGCTGCTGTTAATACGTTTGCATATCAGTCTTCAGTGTAGTCTTCAGTACGTAGTCGACAAGTACACTAAGAGAGAAAAATAACTAAAAGATTTTTAAAAATATTTATTTGGTACTATAATAAAAAATATATTTATTTAAATTTAAATTGTTTCATTTAATTAGAATTATTTAATTACAAACAAGAATACTGCTGCTGTAAATTCAATATACTAAATTTTTTTAGCAAAATCCTAAAAATAATACAAAAAACAGCGATAAATTTTAACTATAACATTTAGAATTTTACTTGGACCAATAAAACATTTTTTTTAAGTATAATTAATTGCACTTGAAAAATTAATTGTACAACCCATAGAAGCAGGTATTAAAACGAAAGAAAGTGTTTGGCATTTGTCATTATAATTGTATTGTAGAAATTTGTTTAGTGGGATTATCTTTTAGCGAACTATCATTTCCTCTATGATAAAACAAAGTAAAAGATATACGTGTGTCTCGAGTTTGTTTATCGCACCTTTGACAATTTAAGCTTTTGTAATATAAGGGAAAATTAACACGGAAGTTAATATTATATATTTTAACTTTCGTTCGATATAATTAATATGTATATATACGCACAGTATATGTGTGTGTATATGTAATAATTGGATGAGTGAGAGTTGTATCAAGAAGGTCGGTATGTAATTTCTTGAATTATATTGTGGGAAGATAAAGTCGAGACGAATGTATACAATTTTTTTCACTGACAATTTTTTGGCATTATTTCGTTTCAATGCTCACCGTCTAATTGATCAATTATTTCCAATTAGAAATAATGGATCTACCAATTAGAAATAATTAATCAATTAATCAATTTTTCTTTTTTTCTTTTTTTTAATTCTAATGCCACTGCTTTTTTCTTTATTGCAAATTTATTTTCCGCGATATAATTTTTTTAGATATATTGAGTTTTCCCAGATATACAGCTGCCCAACCTGTTCCTGCCAAGAAAATTTTGTTCAGGATGATTACCTCGAAGAGATTTGCGCCATCCAAAGGCCGAAATGCGGATTCACGGATTGCGAGTATCCTCTTACGGTTAGACATTGCGTTTTTGCAGCAAACGTGAAAAATTTGTTAATTCTTTGACTATAAAAAGCAGTATTGTATATATTGTCAATAAATGTATCTCACGATAAAAACATTTAAATCGAGTAAAAATAACTCAATCTAAAGGTTGTGCAAATTTTGTTGCACAAACTACTGTCGAGTTAAATTGAATAAAAATCGAGTTAGATCAATAATCGGGGGACGCAGAAGAGAATTTAAACTATTAAATTTAATCAATATTAAAAGATTTAATTGAAATTCAAAATTAAGTTGCATAATATAGATGTTCTTTTAATTATCAGAAAGCTGACTTAACTGCATAATATGAGTAATTCTCTTCTATCTACGCTAGAAAAAAAAATCAGACTTGTGCGTGCGACGTGTGTGTATGATCAATAATATGTTGAATCAGCTTTATGATTGTCTTATTAAACAAAATTTTTAGTTTGTTTCATACAAACAAGAGATTAAAAAAACACGAAAATTTCACTGAAAGTATTAAAGCAGTTAAGGTTCTTAGGAAATAGGAGGTTTTTAATTTTTTACAAGGAAATGAATAAAGATATTAATACAGAGTTTTGATCATAGTATGTATCATTGCTTTAAGTATAAACAAATTATTATTAGTATTAACAAATTATTTAAGTATAAAAAATTAAAGTTCCGTCCAGGTTCTTATACTGTGCGCGGTGTAACCGCACATTTTTAACTGTTAGACAACATTACAGCTCATATAATAATCTAAAATAAATAGGACTAAAAAATTTAAAAATTATATTAAATTTGCTGGAGGATGAATCTAAATCGTTTGAAAAATTTTCAAGAAATTATCATTTTTTCCCGGAACACCAAATAAAAAAGAAAACAAGAAAAAGAAAAAATAACTTGTTAATTCAAAATACTATTATTTTGTTAAATTTCGATTTTCTGCATATAACAAAGATACCATTATTTTGTTAAATTTCGATTTTCTGCATATAACAAAGGTTTATTCTCTAGCAAGTTTAATATCGTTTTTAAATCTTCTCATTTGTGTCAAATTATTACACGAGCTGTAATGTTATTCATCAATTAGGGGCACTTGGCAATACTGTTACTTGTTTGTACTGTTCCCAGTGCAAAAACCTAAATGACGAATATCAATTTTTCTTTAATTAAAAAAATTACTTTTTATACTTAAAATAATGATGAATAGCATGATCGAAACTCTATATTGATATATCTTCGTTCATTTCTGTAAACAAATTTTTAAAAAATTTTCTATATTTTCGTTTATTTTTAAAATCTCCCCTTAATTTATTATACAATTTTATATGCAATTCTATAGTTGAGGTCGTTTAACTTCTGTGTTTTTTTCAAGTTAATTTGACATTTTTCATTTTTTATACACATAAGATAAATATCCTGATTAGTGATCAAATAACTTCATCATTAACAAATTTATTATTAATAAATAAATTAATTAATAATATATGTAATAAGAGAGTATATATACAGAAAAATGATTTTGTTGAAAAATTTGGACATTTCAAGTTTTAATTATGTTATATTTTTAATTCATAAGAAAATCTTTACTTTTTTATTATATTTTTTCAAAAGTAACCGACATTTAGTGACATGACAATTTCGAAGGGTTAATTCGTTACGCGCCTTTACTCGAATAACATTTCGGCGGCATGTTGCTGAGTTACCTTTTCACAGGTGGAAGGTCACTGCTGCCCGTACTGCGGCGGACGTGTTTCCATGTCAAAAAAGACGACCTCCTTGACTGTCGTGCAGACCACGGCGGATGAGGTTCTGGAAGGATATGCGGCGCAGATAGCCTGGCACGTTCGACGCACTTCGGACGGAGGTGTCGAGGTTCTCGTGAAGACTAAGGGCGACTATTCCGGCATCGTAATCGAGGAAGCGGTAGAAAATCTGCGGGAGATGCTGCAAAGTTAGTACTTATACTCTCCTGTCTCCGGCGGATTTTCAAACACGATTCACGGCAGCGAATCTCGCTCGGGCGAGAATTAGGCGCGCACGGAATTTCCGAGCAATTTCAGAGAGCAATTTTATCGCGAATGCGATACGGTCTTGTTGGAGGAGTGACGTAGCTAGGAAAGCTTGAAATCGTACGTGTTAAACCGTAGATACAGCTGTACAAAAGCGATAAAGTGCCCTTTGTCCATGCCGTTCTTATTGTTCGTAACAGCGGTATTGATTGAGAGTGCCTTTGACATGCACGAGAGTGATGGCGCGGATTTTTAATTCAATTTTATAATTGGAACGTGCACGTACAACTTCGCGCACGCGCGATTGCGCTGTGCACGTCCTTCCGAGTGCGACGCGCTTGAAATGTAATTTATTTGTCGTGAAAATTTAATTCCGCATATTTTATACTGCATACCTCTCACGCCGTTACGCATTTTAACCAGGTTTTAAGCACAATTCATAAATCGTAAATTGAAAATATTGGCTTCGATTACACAAAGAAATATTATTTCGTACTCAACATTATTGTCCAAATAAATCGAATTATAGATATACTTTTATGACCATAAATATAAAAGCTCGCGTGTATACGTTTTTGATTATTAAAAGGACGATAATTCGTTGAGTTACATGAAGAAATGGTAATAAAAAAGAAAGAAAAAAGAAAGTAAATAATGTGTGTGCATTACGTGCGCCGTTGCGTGATATTTTGGTGTTCCGAAAGGGTAAAGATATATTATGTTGTGTGTTTGACGATATTAATTACTCCAATAAATCGATCATAAATATAGAGGATATTTCAGTAAAATGGGCAATCCTTTAGGGATGTATAGATCAGATGAAAATAATTTCACAAGTTCAAACATTTTCTCCTATAACGCATCCCTACTGAGATATTCGCTTTAGCGAAGTAAAATATATCTCCTAAAAATAACTTTTTATATTACTTAACAAATTTTCACATAATCTTTACATCATTTTTATATTAAGCAAAGGTCGTTAGAGAGAGAGAGAGAGAGAGAGAGAGAGAGAGAGAGAGAGAGAGA